AGAAGAACATTGCAGGTGTGGCACGGGGTGGTTTCATGCCGACATATCGCACATGCCGTCATGAAACTACCAGTTTTAAGGATAAAACAAGGTCCAATAAAATCTGAAATCCTATATAATTATAGGATTCGAAAAATAGGGCACAGGCCTTAGTAATATTGGGCAAGGAGATGAGCCTGAGATGTTAGTGTTTGAAAAAAATTATCTTATTCAACTCTCGATATCTACTAAGACCTAACAAGGAAAAATTGATCACATACTGTTTGCTACTCTCATGCCACATTTTGAGTTGCAAATTATGACCAAAATCCTATATATAGGATTTAGCAAATTAAGAGATGGGCCGCGAGCAGCTAAAACATGTCTTTGGGGTTTCGTAAAAAAGTTGGGAAATGACGAAATGAAAATTTTTTTGGAGCGCGTTCACTCTGCAGATCTGCACTTCATTCAAATGATCCATGATGTGGCGATCATCTTCTCAAATTTTGTCCAAACAATTGTTTGGAGGTCTACTTCAAGTAGCTGGCGAGCAAAGACTGACAATGTCCGCATCTAGTGATACTAGAGCAGCTCGCAGGGCCAGACGATCGCTGTGCATGGCCCAGGTTTGTTCAGGTGTCTGCAAGCCCGTGGCGGCGGGTCTGCAGAGCGACGCTGACAATTTGTTGGGATCTCAGTGATGTTGATGTCGACAGCGAAGCTGAATCGTCCCCGTCGTCTCCAGTAGCGAAGAGGCACAAGTTGTGGGCTAGTACATAATCATTTGGGCGGCGAACCGGCTGCTACGACGTTACTTGCGTTCAGCTCTCATGAGGCGTCTGACGCAGTCTCGGAAACGCAGGCGACGATCGAAAGTGTCACTGCCAGAATCGAAAGAGTATGCAAGTGCAACGCCACCCAGAGCATCGTGTTGCTTTCCAGGAAGAACTTGGGCCATGCCTTTGAACTGATGTCGTTGACATGCTCAAGTCGGTGTCAACATCTTTAGTTCCGTTGTATTGTGCTCCGCCACAAAAGCCACTAAGTGATCGTTTGTCTCTTTGTGTCAGACTGTGCGAAAACTGTCATTTTCTATTTCAAAGTACATATTTTGAAAACGGTGTTTGGGGCACTTATAGACTACTTTTCTGCCCTGTATCACCTTCAAGAGGTCAAGTAAGGTACCAAGAACTGTTTTCTGGAGGAAAACAAAATTTGAAAATTTTCACTCTAAGACATGTTTTAGCTGGTTGTGGCCCAGATAGGCAGTCATGTGATATCTAAACGTCTGACGTTCTAGTGAAGCATGTCTCTGCACAGTTAATTGAAGCCAGTTGTACCAGAGTGCAGTATTAAACATAATTATATTATCATATAGGCAGTCACGTGCTATCTAAAGAGTGCGCATCCAATATGTGCTAGAGCTGTTAGCGAGTTAGTTGTAGAACGTCAGTACCGTCGGTCAGTGTCGTGCAATGTTATCGCATGAGCTGATTGTTTAGTAACTGGTGGTGTTAGTGGACAGTAAAGCGTAACTTGTAGTTTCTTTGTCTTTCTCCTTTGTATTTGAATTAGAGATCTGCGCTCAGGGACTAGCCTTGTATTTGTGCTTGTGATGATGAAATATTTCACAGTATCGAAGCAGTGACAGCTTGCATGGAGGCACGAACACCACTTGCCAACAAAATACCAAGATAATCGTCGTCCCAATGATTTCTACCATGGATTACAACTCTCGCTGGTGCAGCCTGAGAAGTCCTGTCACGAAAGCCGTGGGTAGCCGGCGCGGCCGCAGCCCTTGAGTGGGATAGGGGGGGGGGGGGGGGGTGGTGAACATTTGTCTGCCAGTCAGGCACGCACTCACAGCCTGCGCGGGCCAAGGATGCACCCGCGTTGAAGGACCGGTACATTTTGGTTGGGTGCTGGGCCTAGTGCTGGCCAGGCACTCCTATGATTCCTCCCATGGTTTACAGCTCCCACTCTGGAGAATATATGAGAAAAGAATTTTGCTCCCATCATGAAGCCAACTCTAAGCTTCAAACTTGTAATGGAGACCAACAACTCGAGAGGTCATAATGTCTTATAGTAACGCGTTTGAGATGGAAGTGGTGATGGTGGTTTAATATTATCCTAGCTCGTCCATTGCAAAATCTTCCATGTATCCTGGTGTGTTAAAGGTGCGAGGCAACACACAAATTGCATGAGGTGTTGTTTTGTAAATGTGCTATCATAACCTGCATATCCTCTCTGTGTGCTGGTCAGCAATACCACTGGCTGGGTGTGAATCTGAACACGGTTTTTTCGATGGACACATGAATGGCAAGCAAACACCACCGATACCCACATTAGCTATCCAAAGAACAGTCATTGGTTAGTTTGGTCGGACATGAACCAGTTCAAATTTTTATGTTGATTGTCAGTTCGCATGAAACAAGGAGCACCATTTGAGCGAATTGCAAAACAATCAGACAAAAATCAAAAACAAAACGAAAATGTTCACCAAGACAAGACAAACCAAAATCTCGTTTCTTTAATGCCACGATAGCACATGGCCCATAAGGCAGCTTCTTAACTGAGCCGCGAGGAGTAGTTAAGTATGACGTGATCAGAAAGAAAAGAGCAGGATCGATGAGCTTGGTATTCATTATAAGCGATACCTGTTATTTCTCCATACGCTGGGCCAGGGCGTCAAAAAGGACTTTTCGCCTCTCGCATAAATTTATTCCGTTGTTCTGTATTGTGTTCATAAACCTGAATGCATGTACCACAGCGGAACATTCGCACCATTAGTATTGGCTTCGTTTTTAAATCTATACGTACGTTATGATTGTTCTTCAACAATCCAGAGTCAATGACATAATGGTCAATGTTATACTTATCCTGGGTGTAGGGACAGCGTATTATATGTATGAGGTCGCCTGCAACTACATCACAAATAGGACAAGACGAGGAGTTCGAATTAGCGGCGGATGCCAGAACAAGTTTCATTTCTTGGCTATTCTCTGCACTGCCCCAAGTAAATCCGATGTCTAGCTTCCCGGTTATGCATCTTAATATGATAATTGATACTCCAAAGTCTCGGTCTTGAACTGGTTCAATGGCGCGTACCGTTGCAACTCCATCCTTTACTTGGCTTATTGCCGTGTACAGGAAGGCATTCGTAAATTTACACATCCTTACCCCTAGTTTTACGCATTCTTTTGGGGAACACAAATCTACGTCAAAGTCGCTCGCCCTCGATTTGTACATGAGCAGCCAGGTTGTTAAGGGGAAATACCTATCTACAATACTGGCCAATGAACCACTTTGAAAGTCAGGTAAAATGCAAGGAATATCCAGCAACAGTTCTAGCAGAAAAGCAGTAGTTTGACTGCAGCTAAACTGGACTAAAGCATGCACTTCCCCTTTGCTATAACCTGATATCGGCACTAGCACTGGAGCTGCCGGAGAAAAAGCACCTTCAATTCGAGTTGCCCAGATTTGAATGCTGGAGATTTTCAATGCGGTATCAGACAACTGTTGGCCTCGACCATTTCAAACTAGAACAGTAAGGTTAGATTGTTCCCCTGCATATCCAGGATACACCGGGAAAGGAAAGGAACAACGCGACAAATCTATTTCAGTGTTGTCCACGACTTTACCCACAACACGAAATTGTCCTTCCACTTCTGACATTTTCTTGCACGTAAATGCTATTCTCTGCAGTAGCGATCTTCCTCTGGCCACAATGTCACGAGACACGTCTGTCAGAAGCTGAATCGAATGTGGACGCATTTTAACGAGGTCTTCGATTCTTAGAGCATTTCTGGGTGCGTCAAGTATGTGATGAAGAGCGTTGTTCGACTCCCGTAAATGGTCTAGGACTTCGACTAGCTCCTTCTTCCGCAATTCACCCTCGCTAATCAGCTCCTCCTTTCGCTTCTTTACTCTGAAAAGTAGCTCCTGGCACTGCTCATGTATCATTGTCTTGATACTGGACACTTGACGTGTAGAGTCACACTCAAATGCTGTGAGAAGTTCACCGGCGTAATCCAGGCTTTCGTTCACTTCCTTTTCGTTGTCATCAGGGACGATGTTGCTGAGGCGCTCCGTGAGTCTGTGTCTTAACGTTCCGGCTGCTCCAGCGCTATCATTGATCTGATCGATTTGTGACGCGTGCTCACCTTGTTCCTTACACGTTTCACACAAAACCTCCCGACATAGGGTGCAGTAATACTGCAACTTCATCTTCATATGGTAAAGGCAAAAGTGCACTCGCCCGTGATGAGGTATCTGGAAACCTTGAGCATCCACCACGGTTGAATGGACTAGGTGAGAGCTCTTTGATTCTTGTGGGATGTTAGGAGAATCCATGCTTTCATCAGCGAGGGTTTGCTGATCATCGTCTTTAGCTTTCGCCTTCGTGGTTCCATCATGACTGTCCGGGACAGTGAGGAACATGGAGTCGTCAACCAACACCTGCTGGTAATTGCGACCGGGTGGTGGACATGGCGTAGTAGCTCCTTTTTTTTTGCAGCTACGAGTGTGGCACGCGTTTTTCAAGCTCGTAGCCTTTCGTTTTTTTGGACATCCCAGCCGGCATCAGGCCGGACCGGAGATAGCTAGGTGGGTAGTAGTAGTAGTAGAAATAGTGTAGGATAGTCTAGATAGTTAGGTAGGGCCAGGCAGGAACCCTTCGCCATGGGCGAGCTCTCTGCTGAGGCCGTGACGAAGCTGCTTTGCACCCTCCCGGGGATTGAGCAGGGTCTCCTTGCAGTGATGCAAACGCTGGCAAAGTTCGCGACCGAGTCTGCTGATCGCGAAGCGCGTATGAAACGCAAAATTGGTGAGCTGGCAGCGGAAGTAAAAGATTTGAAGGAAGAGTTAGTTGTTTCAAAAAACTCCGCCATTGCCTGGATGCAGTCGAAGACGACGAGAAACAGCTCACCAGTTCAAGCAGACGTACATCGTACGCAAAGTAGTACCGGTGGTACCCGTGCCAGCAAACGCAGCACCAAGCGCTTAAGCAAGCTGCAGCTCACATGGAACCCAGCAGCACCGTATCACGTACTGGCGTCACAAGCGCGGATCGAAAGCCCCACGGCCCCCAGGCCCAGGGAAGCGGTGGCTTGGCAAAGGCAGAGTGTTCTGAGTCACAGCCCAAGACAGATGTGACAGAGTCCAAGTCTCAGACAGATGTGACAGAGTCCAAGTCTCAGACAGATGTGACAGAGTCCAACGGCAAGCCAATCTTCCATGTTATCGAGGATGACTCATGGAAGCTTGTCTCCTCAGAACCACCCAAGAACAAGCGTGCCGTAGTGTACGTAGGCAATATCGCCACAGATAGCACTGAGAGCCACTTCAGGCAATTTATCAAAACCAGGAGTGAGTTTCTGGGCGCCTCTATTCCTGTCCACACCTGCAGTGTATGGCTGTCAGAAAGTGGGCGTGCTTCCGCCAGAGTGACCATTGATGCCACTTCATTCTCCACAGTTACAGCGCCCAACTTCTGGCCAAGACCCCTATACTGCAGGCCATGGAGGTTCTCTGAAACCAGCCCTGAGGGCAGCACCAGCAGTCGCTGCCACAGTAGCAGAAACAGCACCTCTGCCAGTGTTCTGACTAAACAGCAACAGCAACAACAGCAGCAGGGCTCAACCTCCTCCCCGCCGCCGCCGCCGCCACCACCGCCGCCACCACCACCGGCAGACATCATCTCCACTCCACTGCCTGGTGGCCAAAAACGGAGAAACTCCCACCTCTCCCCACCAGAGGCTGGAGACCTGAAGAGATCAAACGGATCTGCGCCACAACATGACCTACATGGTCACCAATGAAGCGCTTCCTCAGGCTCCTACTCACCAATGCTTTTGGCCTAAAGTCAAAGCTTGGTGAACTTGCACATGTTGCAAAGTGCTCCTCACCTGATGTCATCGCTGTTATGGAGACAAAATTCTCAACCGCAAAGGTCACTGACAGTGAGGTCTGTCTGTCCGGATACGCTCCCCCAATCCGACATGACAGAAACGCTCATGGAGGCGGAGTTGCCATCTGGGTGAAATCAGACATGGCCTTCCAGCACCTGGACCGGTTCAGCACGGAACACCACGAAGTGATATGGATATCTGTATCAACAGCTAGCCGGCCCAAGATTGTTATCTGTGCACTCTACCGATCAGGCTCCACAGCCGGGACAGACACCGAGCTGATCGAATACCTTGATACCCACCTAGATGAGGCCCGCAGCCACGGTGACTATGTTATCCTCGCAGGGGACTTCAATGTCCACAATGCAGCATGGCTAGGGAGCACCAAGACTACCTCGGCAGGAGAAGCAGCCGAGGAACTCTGCTATGTTCGTGGCCTGGAGCAACATGTCAACATCCCCACACGTGGAGACAACACCCTGGACCTTGTGATGTCTGACTTCAGTGAACCGGTTCAGGTGAAATGCCATGCCCCACTGGGGTCCTCTGACCACGCTGTCCTCACCATGGACTTCCCTATCTCTGCGTTCCGTGAACCAAAAACCACACGCACTGTCTGGCGGTACAACCAAGCAGACTGGAACCGCCTCTGTCACTTTTTCCTAGCCTATGACTGGTCAACTGCCTTCACCACCAGCGCTGATGAGTCGTGCGCCAACATCACCGAAGTTATCCTCCAGGGTATGTCACGTTTCATCCCATCCCGGAAACTCACATCCCGGCCGACGGATCCAGCTTGGTGGACCCCTGAGTGCACGGATGCCATAAAAGCAAAAGAGAGGGCTTGGGCTACTGCCAGACGGCAGAAGTCAACAGCAGCGCGGCAGACAGCCTCAGCCGCCACTCTACGTTGTAATGACATCCTCCAGCATGCCAAGGTGGCCCGCCTGGCTACCCTGCGTACTAAGCTCTCCAAAGCTAGCCTGAGTGACCGCTCGTGGTGGTCTACCATCAAGCAAGCAGGTGGCAGCAGCAGAAACACGTCCATCCCAACTCTTACGCCGCAGCCTGGTTTGGAATGCGTATCGAATGCCGAAAAAGCTGAGTGTTTTGGGCAGTATTTCGCCTCAAAGTGCAGCCTGGGCGCCGACGACTTCCCCGCCAACCAACCAGCGACTGATTTCCCCCACGTTGCTCAGCGCACGGCTGAAAAGCTCTCAACGGTTCGGTTCCGCCCTGCCACTGTCAAGAGAGAACTCCGGCGCCTAAATGCATCGAAAGCTACTGGACCGGATAGCATTCCCGCGCGAGTTCTGAAGATTTGTGCCGACCCCCTAAGTAAGCCACTCTCCAAACTGTTCTCCCTTAGCTTCTACAGCATGGTTATGCCGACATCCTGGAAGACAGCTAGAGTCACACCCATTCACAAGAAGAAATCCAAGAACCTGCCTCAACACTACAGACCTGTGTCTCTGCTGTCCATCATATCCAAAGTGATGGAAACAATTGTCAATCGTCAGATAACCAGTTTCGTGGAGTCCCACAATGTCATCTCTGCGAAACAGTTCGGGTTCAGAAAGGGCCTGAGCACAGCCGACGTCTTAACCAAGCTCCACTGTGAATGGTCCCGAGCAGCCGGCCTAGGAGGAGCCGGCCATGTTTTGGCGATAGACATAGCAGGCGCCTTTGATAAAGTCAGCCATGCTGGCCTGCTGCATAAGGCTTCCGTGTACGGTCTAGACGGCACGCTTCTCGGATGGCTGGAAAGCTACCTGCACAACCGGCGCCTGCAGGCTGTTGTGGCGGCCAAGAGTCCTCCCTGCACCATATCCAAGCAGGGGTACCACAAGGTAGCATCCTTGGACCAACGTTATTCCTCCTGTACGTAAATGACTGCGAGGACACCCTGCCTGCTGGTGCTGAGCTTGCCACGTATGCAGATGACACGACACTGTATCAGTGCATCTCTGCCACCGCCAGCATATCCGACTCTGCAGCACAACTCCAGGAAGCAGTGGACGCCGTCTCCCACTGGGGTTCCAAGTGGAAGGTCACCTTCGAGCCATCCAAATCTCAGGCCCTCATCATCGACCACCGCAAGCCTCCCCCAGCGTTCCCACCAGTGCTCTTCAATGGAGTGACTTTTCCTGAAGAGAAGGAAATTAAACTTCTGGGCATAGCATTCGACTCGCAACTGTCCTACGCAGCACACCTCCGGGCCGTGGCCTCAAAGGCTGCCCAACGCCTACACTTCCTGAGAAAGGTTGCGCCCCTGTTGGACTCCAGTGGCCGCACGGCAGTCTACAAAGGCTTCGTGCGGCCAACAATGGAATACTGCTGCCTGGTGTGGATGGGGTCAGGTACATCCAGACTGGACAAAATCCAGCACAAGGCACTGAAGGTGATTGGCCCAGGCGCCTGGCTCCCTAGCCTGAAACACCGCCGACTGGTTGCTGCGCTTTCGTTCACGTTCAAGCTGTCTTACCTTCCAACAACAAGCCCCCTGAAGCCCATCCTCCCACCTCCAGCCAATCCCCGCCCAGTGGGTGGTCGATCCACTAGGTTAGTCACGGAGACTGCCCACTGCCACCCGCTCCAGCTCAAGTCGACGCTGCCCGTGCGCATTCGTAGCAGCCTCCAGGGTTCCTACCCAGACTGCATTATTCCCTTGTGGAACAGCCTACCAGCGACCATTCTACCAGCACGGCCGCAACCCAGCCAGCTCCAATCATTCAAAGAAAAATGCAACAAGTATCTGCTGCACCTGAACTGGCAAGCAGCCACCGACGCCCTATGAAACGGTTTAGACCAGTGCCTCACTAGCATCCTCCCCCCCCCCCCCCTTACCACAATGTGACGTTATCTTTCACTCTGCTTCTCTCACGACCATCTACCCATTGTCCTTGTTTCTTACTATTATTCATTTCCCCTCTTCCTCCTCTCTACATGGTTTTACTGCATTATGGCGCGCTTTGTCTGCGTAGACGCCGAGACCTTTGAGGTCGGCAGAGCAGCCCGGCCCCGCCACCACTTCTCGCACATATTCGGGAATATATATAGTGGACTTTCGTATAAAAAAAAAAAAAAAAAAGGACGTCGACATTTGGAACAGCGTATCCTTCCATCTTGCTGAATACTGTGCTGAAGACAGTCTAAGCAGATCTTGTGAAGACACTTGAGAAGTTTTCCTGCTTTCTCTGCTCCATTTTTGCAGGATACACATGGTGGCCGCATCTTACAAACGAACAAAATAAAATCCTTTAAAAAAATAAAATCCTTTTAAAATTTAGTCTGAACTTATGTTCAACTGTGTATCAAAGAGATTTCACCAAGAAATTATTACGCTTCTCGAATGAACGATTCGAAACTGTCGTTGAGATCGACTTACTTAAATGGGTGAAAGTTGCCGTCTACATGTCTACATGTCTACTATCCTAGTACCTGAACAAGTTTAATTCAGCGCCATTCATAAGACGTGTGATGTGTGTATTTCATGCGAAAGTGCACTACTTTGTACTGAATGCGGAAGCCGTTGGGTCAAGTTGCGTGGCTGATGGGTCGTATTATCCACGCACGATTACAAGGTCATGTATTGTGAACCACATTATGGGCACAGCAGGTAATTAGGCAAAATATTCCTAGTAGGCTTGGTAACGTCGAAGTCAGTGTGAACTCTGTAATAGCGTAATTTTTGTCGCGATCGCTGCTAAGGTTCGACGTGATGTTACGTCATCATGAGTGTGGGTGTAATTTATGATTCTTCTGGTGCTGCAGCTGGATTTCCGTTTGCAGCAGATTCCTCATGTACGATAAGCAGCATCAGTAAGCAGTAGGAAGTGACTGAGGATCTGTGCGTGGTCAGATGCACCAAGAGAGGGTAACCGTTGAGGATGATCCATGAGTACAACGTCAATACACGATGGTAAGCCAGGGGGGGGGGGTGGATGTCACCATTTGCTCAAGGCCAAAACAAGAGAAGAGTTAATGGAACTCTCTTCCAGCATGATTCGTAATGTCACTAGCACACCAGTTAGAGTGGCGAGCATTCAAGTCTTCTGCTAGTACTGGCGCAGCATTGGCGAGGCTGATACTTGACAGACAGTCCTCTATGAGCTCACTAAATGCCTGGACTTGGGAGATTCTGTCTCCAGGGGGTCTGTAAGTAGAGCACAGATGATGAGGAGAAGTGAGGGAAAGGTTACTGGCCGCAATTCGAGCCAAACCACTTCCAATCCACAGCGCTCAAGGTCGAGCCGGCGCTTGATGGAGGAGAACCACCTGTCAGCTACAAGAGTAGCAACTCCGCCATAGCCTTTTGCTGGTAGATTATCAGAGCGGATCAAAGGTCAGCGGTCCAGACAGTATGTCAGCCACGCTTAACGTAGGCAGATTATGTCTGGAGAATACTGATGACAGACTTGACTAAGCTAAGCTAGCTTATTCACTTTGGAGCGGCAGCTAAGTGAGAGTACTGAGAAGGATGACGATAAGTGGTTAGGTTGATTGGGAGTTTTAGTTCTGTATAAGTAAAAAATTTCGTTCACAAAATCTTTCGTTAGATCGCTCCACTAGCAGGCTTGCTACGTATTAATTTTGGTTTTTGGTCAAGGTCTGTCCCCCGAAAGTTAAGAAAAAAAATTTACTTTGGTACGAACTTTAGTTATTCCGTGGCCACTAACGGATATAGCGAAAATTAATTCCAAACGAAAATTGGTACTTATACAGTAGTATGTTTTCCAGAAGCAGAAATTAATGGTGAAAGAATGGTGAAAGAATGGTGAAAAAATGGTGAAAGAATGGTGAAAGAATGGTGAAAGAATGGTGAAAGAATGGTGAAAGAATGGTGAAAGAATGGTGAAAGAATGGTGAAAGAATGGTGAAAGAATGGTGAAAGAATGATGAAAGAATGG